CCCCCCCCAAATAAACAGCACCTTAAATATTTATCAGTACAGAATTGACAAAATACATCATGGTACATTAAAAACTATGATTTAGTCATGGTTAGCCATGACAAAGAACAAGACAAGTCTATATGTAATAGTACAAAAATATCCTCGAGATATATAATCACATGAAGAAAAGCGAATTACGGAACAATATGCTTAGTGTGACCTCATCTATAAAAAAAAAATCAATAAGTGTATAATCAACGAGCATTTACCAAGTTGTTAATAGTAATTACCTCTGGAGATTGGGGTTGGGTGAGAAATTTTCATTTTTGACTTATATGGTTCTATTATAACTTTCATAATTAAGAATCAGTAAATTACATTTTCCAAAACTTTTTCATATAAATTAGAAAGTGACATTCAGCTGCCTTAAGAGAAGAAAGTGACATCTTCTACAAACCACAAAGAATGTTCTAGAAGTCACTAAGAAAAATGAATAGAAAGGAGAAATAAAATAATTCTCAAGGCAAAAACGGAAAAAGTGAAAACTTCGTAAGATCAAACATGAAGAATTAGCTTGATGTAGCCTCAGATTGTTGAACTGCTCAGCACTTTTTGATAATGACTAACTGCTTCTCCTGCTGGTGAGTACCCAGCTGAGCTGGCTTCTCAGGTAACTAGCATGTCTACACCAAACGTACTTCTACGATTTGACTTAGCATCATCCATATCTGACATTATCATTTTAAAATGTAGGTTATTGTTTATCTGCCCACTAAGTGAACCCAAAAAATGGAAGAAAGATTCATCCCCCAGGACTGTAAGACCTTGAAATATGCACAGCAAAAACCTTCCTTGGGTGAGACAGTGAGATAATCAAGAGGCTTTCTCTGGCCTCTGTCCCCAAACAAAACCTGTATTTATTTCCTGTGTGAAAACATGTTTGCCTCCCTCATGGTCTCACCCATTTCTATACTTCGGGTTAGAAAGAAAGCTCTTACCTTAGATATTTTTTACCAAAGAACACAAGGCAGGAATCACTGTAACACATGGGTGTGATACCCAACCTGTCTTCAGAGTTGGCTGAGGGATCCCGGCCTGATCTCATTTCTTCCAGATCTGGAGTCCAATAAATGAGGTACAGGCCTAGCCTGGTGTACCTTCTCCCCAAAAAGGCAATGATGATATCCACAGCACTGGCCAAGAGTCAGGGTTCCCTGCCTCATGGCAGTGGAAGGGTTCTCTTTGACCTCGGTCAGATTAGGCCTTGGAGAGGATTTGCTGGGGGAGGCTGCATAGTCAGATATTTCCCTCACATTCAGGCCCAGCTCCTAAAGGCATTTGCTCCACCGCTCACTCCTGCACGTCCAGAGTTGTAAATCTTCTTACTCTCCTGGATTAGGAGGCTGTGTTTCTCAAGCCACAAATGAGAATCCTGAGCTCCTTAACCCAGAAATAGAAGAATGCTGACAAGGCAGAGGGGCCTGGGAGCCCCAGAGATGCAGCGTGAGGTGTCCTCACTGAAGCCACACAAGAGACGAAGGCATTCTTCCCTGGTGATGGCTTTTCTCTGTTTGCAAAACTTGATTGAAACATCTTGCCCTTTCTTGTTTATTCCTATTATGGACACTTTTCCCCTAGGATATAACCTAAACCGTTGTTAATCGCTATTCCCAATTTACTTTTTCAATACATCTAAGATGCTCATGTGTGTGCTGGTAGGTGCTAAATACATATTACATGGGGATTTGCAAAGAAATTTAGACTCTGTTTACTTACATGTATTTAGTAGGTCAAGCTTGTTAATTATGTTATTCAAATCCTCTTTACCCCTGTTTACTCCTGATCTGCTTCTCTTGGAAAGGAATTTTTTTTAAGTGATAAGTAAAATGTTTTGAAGTGGTAAGTGATATGATAAGTACAGATTTAGCATTTATCCTTGTATTTCTGAATCTTTGCATTATATGTTTTGAAGCTAAGTAATTAAACGTTAGCTAAAACCAGATGAAATTGCCACTGGCAATTATATAATTATAATACATGAAGGCTTTTGTTTGTTTCATTTTCTTGGTAGAGGGTGACTTGCCAAAATAAAATATCACTTTGCCCTTTAAAATCCTTTTTGTCATGAATTGTCTTTTGTATGCTATTAATATTTTCACATCATCTCACTTTTTGTTCATGGTTGACTGTTAACACTTTTTCCCTAAACTAACTAAAAGTTAAAAGACTGATAAAATGCTGTTATCACTGAGTATATGAGAAAAAGGGCCCTCTTCATACACTACTGGTGGGCATGTAAATTGTTCTACTTTAAAAAAAATTAAACTAGATTAGCTTTTAATTGTGATTTATTGAATTACATATTTACTTTATTAAATTACAAATGTATAATAGTTAAATCCTTTGGTACAGAAATTCCACTTATAAGTATCTCATAAAACTACAGACCCACACAAAAATGTATGTTAGGATTTTCATTATCATAGTGTTTGTAATCATGAAATATTAGCTACAACTTAAAAGTTCAAAAATAGTAGAATGGTTAAGTAAGTTATTATACATACACACCGCGGAATACTAAAACATAGTCTTTTTTTAAGAAGGTAGATCAATATCCTCTATCATGAAAAGAGGCTCAGATTCTCACTAGGGGTTGCAGCTGTGATAGACCCTGCAGGGCTGGATGTCTTCTGGTGAGGAGAATGGCCCCACTCCTAGTAGTCACTCGGAACTTTGCCTATGTACTTTGCCAACAGTACACTATGTACTGTTCATTTATTTATTATTTTTTTTACTTTTTATTTTTAGCTGAGCCATCCTGCCACCTGTTGGCAGCTCAGCGGCAGCTCAGCCAGGACTCGAACCGCTGTTGCTTAGAGCTCGCACTCTTGAGTGAGCTCTTAACCAACTGAGCCACTCGGCCGGCCCCTGTTTATTTTTTTAATAGAAATACATTACTTGTATACTTTTTAAAAGTAGAATATTAAAAAAAAACTCTCCCCATCTCCTATGCAACCACCACAAGCCAAGCCATCTTAGTTTATTTTATTAAATAATTTTTTTTTTGGCTTAAAAAATTTTATTGTCATAAAAGCACTTAACTGAGCTTTACCCTCATAACAAATTTTTCAGTGTATAATACATTATTGTTAACTACAGGCTTTATGTTGTACAGCAGATGTCTAGAACTTACTCATCTCACATAACTGAAACTTGATACTTGTTGAATAGCAACTTCTCCTTAGCCCCTGGTTTCTATGAATCTAACTACTTTCGATACCTTCAGGAGAGGGAAAAGTTTTCCTTGACCCTCTTAGGGTCTCTGGCTGGGTCTGAAAATTAAACCGACAAAGACAGATTAACAGGACAAAAGCAAACAAGTTTATTTAATATAAATTTTATCGACACAGGAGCCTTCATAAGGAAATGAAGACCCAGATAAACAGTTAGTCCTGAATATTTTATACTAGGTTTGATGAAGAGTGCACAGTGGTGGAGGAATATGATAGGTTAAGGAGTATGAGGTAATTGTGGTAAACTGGGGGAAACTTAGCAAGGCCTGTTTGTTCAGATTCTTCTCAATGTCCCTTTGTCTTGGGAGGTAAGGATGCTCCTTTCCTCCAGGCTTAGGGAGGGCACCTCTTGCATGAGGGTGTTATGACCTGTTTCAGGGAAGAAAGGAAAAGGGAAGAGGAGGTCAAAGTGATCTTCCTACTTCTGTGTAAAATACTCAAAATATGCTAAGATGCCACAATTTGGCTAGCATGCTCTGAACCCCATCAACCTCATATAAGTGGAATCATGCAGTATATTCCTTCACTTAGCATAACATCCTTAGGGTTCATCCATGTTGTCACATATGACAGGATTTCCTTCTTTTTCAAAGCTGAATAGTATTCCACTGCATATATGTACCACATTTTCTTTATCCATTCATGTGTCAATGGACATTTACATTGTTTCCACATCCTGCAATTCAAACTGGTTTTCACTTTTCAATTATCGGGCCCCTCCAATGCACTCTCCAAACCATACACAGAATGAACTTTAAAAAAAAATCAAAGCCGGCCAAGTGGCGCAGTTGGTTAAGAGCTCGCTCAAGAGTGTGAGCTCAGAGCAACAGTGGTTTGAGTCCTGTCCCAAGCTCAACTGCCACTGAGCTGCCAACAGGTGGCAGGATGGCTCAGCTAAAAAAAATAATTAAAATAAATAAATAAATAAAAATTAAAAAAATAAAAATCACTCATATAGCTCTTTGATTTCTGGGTACTTTGGAGGGAGAAATATCTTGAAAAAACATTCCTTCTACATAACTCTTAGTAATGATAAACCAACATCTTTCTTAATTACATAATGCTTAGCTGAGTTTGCAAGTATTATAAGTAAGTAAAATCAGAGAGAGAAAAAAAGGGAGTAAAGAGAAAGTAGGAAATAAAAAGGAAACCTGAGAGGTAAGCTGGCACTAAAGCCATGTGGCTCTAAGGGCATTTGCTGGTGCCAGTAACATAGAACCTTGAGCTCTATGACAATTGCCTTGGGAAGTGGAGGAGAAAGGGACAAGGACTTGGGCGCATACAAGATGAAGAGTTAAAATGCCTCAGACTGTGCAGGGGGTAGGGCTCTTCTCTGTGAATTTGTAACCATAGGTCTGCCCTCATACAATATAAATTGAGGCTTTCATTTATACTACCTGAGTTTTCTAAGAAACCACAAGCTGAGAAATTAACAAACACACATCCTCTCGGGGGGGGGGGGTACCACCAACCAGAACTTTAGGCTTTCCAGAAGAACATGCGTTCACAATCCAAAATTACAAAACACCATGCAAGCCTCCATAATGGTGAGTCAGCAAAAAAAAACAACAACAGCAAAATCGGACACCTGAGGACTTCATGATGGAATTTAGAAGAAAATGTAAGTATGGGGTAAGAAGCTTAACAGAAGATGTCAAAACAAGAAACAAGATGCTATCAAAAAAAAAAAAAAGATCCTGGCAGGTTTGAAAAAGTACTATTGAACAGGTCCATCTAAAATAAAAATATTATCCATGATATTAAAAACTCAATAAATCCATTGAACAGCTCTGAACATCTGTTCAGAAATAATTTACAGGAAAACAAATCTTTTAAAAGTTACCTGGAATACATCACTGAGAGAGAAATCCACTCCTCTCACTTTTTTCCCCCCAAATTCCAGAGGGCATAAGAGACACAGAGGATAGAGAAGGTGTCACACACAATTTGGAGTTCAGGAGAAGACGCTAGAGAACGTAGGAGAGCAACTCTTAGAGAGATGATAACTGAGCATTTTCCAAAACTGAGTTTAAAAAAATAAATTTGAAATTTGGAGAACACAACAAATCCCAAGAAGGCTAAATAAAAATAAAAAAAATCAACATCTAGACACATCACAGTGAAACCACATGGCACAAAAAACAAAGGTCTTAAAAACCACCAGAGATTTAGATTATACTTAAATGACTGTCCTGCTTAAAAGCTCTCAAGAGCTGCACTTCATCTGGTAAAAATTAGGGTATCCCTCCAACTTCCATACAAAAATCATAGTATATTTTCAAGAAAACAAGAATGAAATGTGACTAATGAGTAGAAATTTCTAGTCTCAATCGAACATGTTTGGTGAGAGTAAACTACACTTGAGATTCGATTTTACAAGGGGCATTGGATGGCGGAAATTTCACAATGTTGACCCAACACTGTCCAAGAACATGAGTATTCTGGGCCACTAGAGAGTTGGGCGGAGATGGGTGCTTGGCCAACGTTTACCCCTAGACATTCCCTTTTCCTTCGTTCTGCTGGTGCACTAAACAAGGACATCCAACCAACTCCTTTTCTCAAGACTTTACCCTTTTCTGACTTCATCATCAGTTTCTTTCACATACATATGAGGAAAACAATCAAATTTTATAAAGCAGCTGTGTACTCCTTTGAATCCTGATGCTTATAGAACATCTATGAGAGCTGCTACCTGGGGACAGCTGTTTAGCTGGGGACACGACATCAAGGGTAAGAATATAGGGAGAACACAGCACTAAACTTGGAAAATTTTTAAAAATTTTTCCTCGCCAACATCTTTGTCAACATTTTGTTAACCAATGATAAGTGACCATCAGAAATAATTTGGTTTTATATTGCTTTCAAAAAGCAGTAAGAAAGTAGCTATTTGGAAAAAGGGGGTATATCAGGTTTTCTTTAAGCATTAGAAATGTTATAAAAAATGAGAATCCTATCACATGGAAATACATGATCAAAGGTTAGATTAACAAACATTCAAACAGGCTGTATTTAAACAAGAGCTGTCCATTTCTTTTAGAAGAATCTTTTTGCTCAGACTCTTCCAGAAAGACTTCATAATAAACAAAGAGCTCAAGTCTTTGTAAGTTGAGGTATGACAACATAGCTATGTTATGGTGAGAAGCTGGGATATGGTTTGACCTCTGAGACCAATTATCTCTGAGTTGTTCAAGCCAGGCTAGCCAAAGCTTAGAGGTGGACAAGGCAGGCCATGGAGAGAAGCGAAGGCTAGATGCCTGTTACCCGCTTTACCAAAGCAAGCTCCAAAGGGTTTGATCCTCCTGCCCCCCACCTCACAAGGTAGAAAAGTTTAATGAGGAAGGAGCCTGTATTGTTCATAAAATAATACAATCCTTTCACTTTATTTTTCAAAGCACAGCTCTTCAAGAATTTCATTTAAAAACCCATCTGTAAGGGAAGAAAAAAAAATAAATGCACTTAATTCAAACACTGATTTTTAACATTCCCGTGATAAGTGAATGACCAAAACATCAGGCCAGGTTCACAAACTCCAGAAAACCCTTGCAAGGTGTCCTATCAGTAGGTGACTGCCTAGATTTCAGGGACAGCAGAAAGGACTCCTGCTTTTTCCTCAGGTCCTTCCTCTCATCTGTGGGCTCCCTCATGCTTAAATAAATTCTGTAAGTGTTCTTTGCCTTCGGTGTCTGTCTTCTCGTGTTGCAAAGGTACTGGGCCTGCCTCACTACTACTCTGGGGACACATAAGTGCTACCAGGTATTTCCCTCTCTATGTAAGTGACGAGACAACACCTTGCCCTGAGAGCAGGTTTCAATGAGGGGCAAACTGCACCAGAAGATTAGCTCTCACACAAACAATTCAAAGTCAATACCTAATAGTAACATTGTCCTGACACAACCAACAATCATACGCCACATGCCTGTCTGAAAATAGTCTGTGTGTATAAATGTTAAGGATGTTACCATCTTCTGTGAGAAACCAGCACACACATGCCCACAAATCAACTAGCAAATCCTTTCACAGCACAGGTGAATTCATAGCACTCTTCCGCTGACTTACTTTTAACCCAGGTTTCTGATCCTCGTCATGTACTTGTCTGGGTTGGCAGCACTCATTACCGTGGTATAAACTGTGTAGCTGAAAATAATGAGAGGAATTTTTATATACACATGATTTTCCCTAACATTCCAAAGAGGGGATAAAAACCCACCAAGCCCTTCCCTAACACTTGGGACCTAGGAGAAGAGTCAAAATAAAGGCCCACATATGTTAGATTTAAAATTTATGATTCAAGCAACCACACACTCAAAGTATTCTTTCCTATTTTGACAACACTGTGGGAGGCCAAGTTTGAACTTAAAATTCGCGGCCTCCTCAGAGTTCCACGCTGAGAGCCAACCTTGGTCCTCACCCCTTGCTCTGCCCTACCCCACAAATGGCACGTGCGCGTGTGTGTCTCTCTATTTTACTTTTTATCCAATCCTAGAGATTTCCGGCTTTGCTTTCTCCTGCCCCCTTAACCCACCACCAGTGGATTTCATGTAAACCTTCTTATGTCTCCTCTGTTGATTCTAATGTATAAAATAAGCTGGAAAACTGCCATTCTCCAGAGCATTTTCTCAATTTGTTGAGGTTTTGCTTCCCAGCAATTGTTGTCAGTTTGGCTCAAATAAACTCATTGAAGTTCTCAACAGGTTTGGGTATTTCTTACGTTGACACTTATATAACTATTTTTAAAATCTATAAGTACACAAAAATAGGTTTTTAACCCCTCTTTATAGAATGAATATTAAAAGGGCAAAATTGTGCCCTGTTGGAAGTAGTACAGTCGATGGTACAGAAAAAGCTGGCTCCTACAGGTTGGTGAGAGCTAATTGTTAAATACGTAGGAAGAATATGAGCCAACTGTAAACTTGAAATGGGCTAGATAGGAGTACTTATACCATGGAAGCCAATAAATGCTACAAATCGGGGGGGGGGGTCTTTTGTTTGTTTGTTTTATCTTCCCCTCCCCCCCTCCCCCAAAGGCCTAGTTTACTAGTACACCACTGGGTACCACTTGTTACTCACTTGGTAGAGTGGTAAAATACTGACTGACCAGGTAATTTGTTTTTCTGTATTTGGCTGTTAGAATATTGTTCATGGAATAAGCGTTTTAGCATTAATCTTTTTATCAGGCCATACTTAAAGAAACTTTCAAAGAGGTATTTTGAAGTTATATTCCTATTATTGTACAAAGTGAAAAGAATAACGCCAGTTTGGAAAATGTTGTTATACCTAAGGAATCTCAAAGCACCCATATATACAAATATTATTCTAGAGAAGGGGTCGGCAAACTTTTGAGACGGAAGAGCCAATCCTGTCCCTCACAACAATTTAAGAATGATTCAAGAACCATAAAACAAATGAAATCACCATTATGTGAATAATATCCTTTAAAATTTTATACACGAAACTATGATAGTTTTATTTTCATTTTCAATTTTACCTCAGAGCCACATGTACATACCCAAAGAGCCACATGTGGCTCGCAAGCCTCAGTTTGCTGACCCCTGTTCTAGAGGCCATCAGGACAACCACTATTCTGTGTTTGTGAAAAAGAGGATCATTTCAAAGAAAAAAAATCAATTGGGTATTTGAAATAAAAAATGACTTTACAGGTTTTATCTGCATTAGGCTATTTCTTGAAGAACACCATGTTGATATTCCTGCTTTGGAGAAAGCGGAAGTGAGAATGATGGGTAAATAGGAAATGCTGAGTTTGGGAATTTATTGAAAAGATGGAGATAAAGCTCTGTGTTGATTTGCAGATGCTTCCTCTTTTATTTTAGTAAGTTAAGCTCTACCACACTAAGCAAAATAAGGTGTCAGCACTCCTAATGAGCTAGTCTTAGGTGTGGATAAGGCAATCAGGCAACGCCTCCAGGGGTACGAAGAACCATAAAGAGCCAACTGTTGGTCTATATGGCCTTGCTCTGATGGTGACAGTGAACCTTCAGAATTTCCTCTAGTTTGATGCTGGCTGCCCCTCCAATTTAACTAAGAGTTTCCTGTGGCAGTGGTGGCCACGTTCCCGTGCTCCACTTCAGAAAAATCTGTGGGTAAAATTCCAGGCTGTAGACCTGAGAGCCACTGCTCACAGAATGGCACTATCAAGGACACAGGCTACAAGAGTCACTAATTCAGTAACTTAGATACTGAATTATCTTTGGGATAGCAGAAACTCCCCATCAAGACAAAGGAAAGCCAGAGGTGTCTAAAGTTTAGTTTTCACAGAGTGAAATGAAGGAGCTCCCAACCAGTTAAGGCAGTCCCCAGCCAGACTGATTTAGGATGAAAATGTCACTTTCGTTTTTCTTTATATTTGTGTTTCTTCATGGACTTCTCACCTGATTTATCTGTTTATCTGCCCCTCCTGGGCCAGTAGAAGGCTAATCCCATGAGCGCAGAGACTCAGTTTTGTTCACTGCTGTTTCCACAGCAACTAGAAAGCCCGTCCCACAGAGTCGTCAGATCTCTGCTGAGCCAAAGAATGGGTGAGCGAGTCCCCAGTTCTGGGGCGACATATGAACAGATGTGAGCAGGTGTCACTTACTTGTTGTAAACCGGAAACACTGACAAAACCTGCATAGGGGAAAAAAGACCATTAAAACGGAGAAGAAATGCATGTAGAATATCTATAGAAAGAATAAAAACCACTTCACACTTTAGTTACAGATTTTTAAATTCTTTTTCTCCTTTGAAACAATGAACATGTATTACAACCGTGCCTTTTTCTAACATGCAGAAAAACTTAGGTGAAGGTGGGCACTTTAACCTATATAGAAAAACATTCAGAAAATGTCATTTGTCTTTTAAAAAAAAATCCTTTCAACCAGGTAAAACTTTTACTTTAACATTTTCATCTACCACATTTGCTTAATTTCAGAGGAGGTTTTTTTTTTTAATTACTATCAGCAAAGACACCAAACATCCTGGGCAAAAACTAGAAATCACAACACAAGTTACCTGGAAGAGCGTCTCCAGGGTGAGGTTTGCCTGGCCAGTGGCATTAAGGGCTTTGATGGCAGGTGTTCTGTAAGGATGATGGACAAAGTCACTCGGGACTTCAGGAAATCCTGAATCCCACCAGCTCTCCTTCTAGGAGGCTCAATGCAAGGCCTAGCCTCATTGTCTACCTTTCCACAGAACAGATTCTGTCCCCCAAGCACGTTTCCTCCTTAGTCCCAGGTCCATTGACCTCCAACTACTCAAGGAAGCCAAGTGGGTGAAAATGTGTCACTGCAGAATTGAACAGTTACCACCAAACATGTGGGGCAGTAAAGTAAGGGGGAAACATCTGCTGTTTCGGGATGCACTGACTTAGTTCTAGAAGTTTCAAAATTAGAAGGGACAATGAAAGCCCCCAACTGTTTCATTTATTTCTTTAAGTATGGGAAATGTTTCCCTCCAAAACAGTCTTACATAAAAACCATGAACCTTGCTCTATCCTTTCCTTTTATAGTTGGATGAACAGAAGCCCAAGAGGCCACCCAGTGAGTCCTTAGCACGAGCTGGTGGTGGAATCCAGGGTTCTTGACCCTGAAGCCAGGGCCAACCTTACCCTCCCAACACCCACCCAACTGCCAAAATCCTCTCCTCCAAAGCTCCCCACCACATACTACACCCTCCCATCCTGGCCTAAGCACTGGCAAGGGGGCCCAGGTATATTTTCTGGGCGGGGCTAGCACTTGGAGTCCTCTCCAGTTCCTAATAGGAGGGGCACGTTCCCCTGCCCACAGGAAAACACTGCAAACAGGAAAGTATATACAGGCTTACCTTCTGTCATCTTCCTCAGGCACTGGCTTCCAGTGGTCATAATTTGTCTCAACTCGGAACCACCTACAACAGAGCACATCATCTCATTTTATCCAATGTCACTGGGGACATAGCTGCAGCAGAAATATACAAACATAAAAAATATCGGGCCGGCCAAGTGGCTCAATTGGTTAAGAGTTGGCTTGGGGGCAGGAGCTCTGAGCAGCAGGGCCACCAGTTCGGATCCCACATGGGCCAGTGATGCTGCGCCCTCTACAGCTAAGATGGTGAACAACAGCTTGACCTGGAGCAGGGCTGCCGTGAGTGGCCAGCGACGGCGTAGGCTGCAGTGGGGCTGCAGTGGGCTGTTGTGAGCTACCATGTGTGGCTGGCAGCCAGTGTGAGCGGCCCACAGCCTGCTCGAGCTGCCGTGAGCCTCCGTGAACAGCCGTCCAATGGCCGGCGAACGATCTGCCTCACCCAGGAAGAGTGCAATGATCACAATACCAACATGGGCCAGTGAAGCGATGTCCTCCACAACTAGACTGATGAACAAAAGGACAGCAACTTGTCTGTTCCCCTTCTCCGATTCCCCAACGCTGTTCCCCTCCCCCAGTTCCCCAATAAAATATTTTTTAAAAAAACCTCCAGTGTTATCAATTAAAAAAGATTATTGATACAAAATTGACCCATCTTTAATTCTACTCACGCTCCATTTAAAGGATCCAGAGGCCAAATGTCCGCCGGACCACCTCTGTTCCTCGTGATGACCACTCCCTCCCGGGGAGACACGCCACCGACAATATAATACACATCAGCAATAAGAGGCGTCTTGGCCAGTTTGACAACAGCTGCTTCAAAGTTTTCTGATTCACTCAGGGTCTGAACAGAAAGACAACCCTGCATTAGCATCATCCTAGCACGGCAGCTATCCACACCAACGGATGGACAAATCGTCCAAAGTACATGCTCGGGATATCTTAAACCATGGCTAGGATCTTGAACTGCTCTGACCTCAACCTCTTGTCCTTGAGGCTCCTAAAATGGAAGAAACCTCAGTGGAGAGCCAATAGTAGCAGGATTTTTCGCACAAAAACTTGTGGACAAGTTCCAGGCCCAGCTCACCACATAAGGGCTGTGTATTCTCATGGCAGGTCCTCCTTGCAAAGGACTCCCACGTTTCCTCATTCATTTGTTCTTCGCACAGATAGTTCTTGAGTACCTACTGGGTGCTAGGCACTGGGCTAGTGTGGGGACAGAGCTGTGAATATGACCGATCCAGCCTTGTTCTCCCCAAACTTCTAAGGATGACAGGAAAGTCAACAGACAATGGTGACACAGTGTAATCAGTGTCAACATAGGAGAAGACGCCATGGAAGTTATAGCAGGAGACCCACCTTCACCAGCGCATGAAGGAGACATCTCAGGGAGGTCCTGCATGAGCTGAGGCCAAAGAGTCAAACAGAAGGTAGACTGGTGAAAGTGGTGGTTTCGGGGTTGGGGACGAGAGTTCTAGCTTGACAGAACAGTTTGCCAAAGGCTTGGAGATGAAAGAGAGCGTGCTACATTAGAGCAGTGAGCTTAACTGGTGTCCAGTTGCCCTGGGGGTTCATGAAAACTGCCAGAGGTCTGTGGCATGGATAGGTAGGGGTCACTTTCAAAATCCTCTGCTTCCAAATGTGTTTCTTCCTCAAGCTGATCTGCTCAAAAACACCCTGCAGTACAGGGCCTGCTCTTCCCACCTGCACCTTTACAATCACTCTTCTACCACTTTGTGAAAGAAGTACATTTTCTGCTCACCCCTCCTGAATACTACCAAGGCACAGTGTCAAGGGTAAGGTGGGCACAAGGTCAAACAAAGAACAAGTCAAGATGTTACTGTCTGTAAAGGGGTCACCATTCAGCACCATAAACCACCAACCAACAGCAGGACCATGTGGACTTTTCCCCGCCTTATACATATTGTTGTTAGTATTTAGACTTGAGTTAGTTTGTTCTGAACGCAGCAAAATTATAAAGTGAGGCAACAGGAATGATGAAACATTTTTCTTATTCTCATCTATACCATCCCCCACCTACTGCAAAAGAATTTGTTGCCTCGAACAGAATTGCATGAGTAAAAAAAGCAAAAGAACATCAGTAAGAAATCCTGAAGGCAGTGCTGACTTATTTCACCCAAGCAGCAACGCCAGGGTGAGACATGCACTTGATCTGTTTATCTCAGGAAATGGAGGAAATAGATAGTGACTGCTAGTGGGTATAGGGTTTCTTTTTAGCAGAATGAAGATGTTCTAAAATTGACTGTAGTGATAGTTGTACAACTCTGAGTATACTAAAAAGCAGTAAGATGTAGCCTTTAAATAAATGAACTGTATGGCAGTTATTTATATACCTCAATTATACATCTACCTTATGACCCAGCAACTCCACTCATACTAACCCCCACAGAAATGGAATGGATACATATGTTTACAAAAAGACTTGTACAAGAATTTCTATAGCAGCTTATTCATAATAGCCCCAAATGGATACTTTTCCCTATTGCAATATTATACTACTCATTAAAATCTGTGCTTACCACTTTAAATAGTGTCCAGCTTTATTTTTGATACTTATTATCAAAAAAGTTGATATGCATTTTTCAAACCTTTAGATGCTTATGTTTTTCAGGAGCTTCTTACAGTAAAACGACATTGTTAAATGACACAGAGCATCATTAGCATGAACACGGTTTAGAAGATGAAGTTAGGGTGAGATGGGCTTAGTAGTCAATATACTCACAGTGCGGATAAGCCAGCTGACTAGCGAGTGTCTCTGAAAAAAGGCTGCAATCGCATTCTCCCACCACCAGCCTTTATCTGCCGAGTTGAGGAAGGAACAATGAGTATATACACAAATTGCTGCCCAAGTGCCACTCTTTAAAATGCCTTAAATCTTGTTTCTTTCTCGTAATACAGGCTGATGGGGAAGAAAGGTTGGTTGATAAAGGGTGATTTTACTAGCATCTTTTTCAAAGATGAAGCCCAAATTTCATGGCAACCATTAAAATATGACATATGTACGTTATTTATATACATATAGCATTGTTTCCAGGCACCAAAGAGTCTGTGTTCTGTGTATGTGGTGTGTATGTGTGTGTGTGTGTGTGTGTGTGTGTGTGTGTGTGTATATGTGTGTGTGTATGTATGTATCACACATATGCATAGAATCTTTGGTGTCTGGAAACAATGATAATTATATTAAAGGAAATCATTCTATTAATTACCCCAGGCAAAATAAAATTATGTAACTATCAGGAGAAGTGGCTCAATAACTATTAGAAAAACTGTAGCAAATGTGTATCTTTCAGAACTTTAAGTTTGATTTGAGCTCACATTTTTTAAAAAATACAAATTTTCAATCATTCTCCAAAATCACCTTTTAACTTCTTTAAAAAAATCTCTGCAGGGGATTTTTTTCCAAAGAATAATTTTCATTCAAGAAATAAGCACTGAGCATCTACTATGTGCCTGTGCAGACAGAGCTGACTCCATCTTGAAAAGCTGACTCCATTTTAAAACCTGAGCCCTTGACCCCCTCCTCTTTTCCCTGGGTGGACTCTGGAATATGTAGGCACCCTCAATGTCTATTTTTATCTTGCTCAAGAGCCCCCAATATCTGGTCCTTTTGTTTCCCTCGATTACCCCCACATTCCTTTTGGAGTATGTAGGTCCATTTATTAGGGGGTATAAAACAGGTGGTCTGGGGTGGGGGGCAAACAGTGTGGGGATCCATTTGGTGCCACTGAGCCCCAGGACTGAGTTTCTGTAAGTTCCCTATTAAAACTCTTTAAATCGACAAGCTGGACTTGTCTGTTTCATTCTCTGGCCTCTTAGCTCATTTGGGGGCTACTTCGCTCACACAGCCTTTTCACGAAACAGTGCTGTAGACTGACTTGGTCCAGACCCTTGGAATTTAACAGTGAACAGAAGAGACTAGTGTGCTGAGGAAAGAGTGAAGAAATAAAATGGAGTCGCTATAGTCAACCCGCTAGATTACTAAAACCAGGTAGGCTGAGGCATGAAGAAACTATTCTATTCTTGCTTTAACTAGCCTGGGAACTTACAGTTTTGAACTTTTCCATAGTGTATCAATGCCTGGAGATAGATATAGATATAGATATAGATATAGATATAGATATAGATATAGATATAGATATAGATATAGATGATATAGATATATAGATATAGATATAGATCTATTCTACACTCATACATAACCATCTTACAGTCCTGACAGCCTGACATCCATTATCTCGGCCCCTGACATCTGGAAGATCTCCAGCTCAGACCAATCCAGAGGCTGAGAATGCAGGACTAATTCTTCTCAAGAACATACTTTTTACTACAAGAACTCAGCTTTTCTTTTTTCTTTGGAACAGTCTGGGTATTACCTAGTTGTGTATCTGGTTTGCAAACCCTAAGACCCTTGAATAAATATTTGCCACTTTTTTCTAGCGAAGCCTCCTGACTCTTTGTGCTCCGTTGACAGTACCATTACACAAACGAGATTTGGATAACTATAATAAAGAAAATAAGACCGAATATGAAATCATGAGCGATAAGGGAAGGTTCCTTTCTAGAGGAACATAAGGATAGCCCCTCTGAGTTGTGGACATTTGAGCTAAGACGGGGAGAACATTCCAGACAGAAGGCATGGGTGTCAGAGACCCAAGGCAGGCACGAGCATGGCAGATGTCAGAAAGAGAAAGAATGCTGGTGAGGGGCAGGCGGAGCGAGGGAGAAGGAGACAGGGACGAAATGAGGTATAGGAGGTGATCCTATAGAGTTTTGAGGTCACAGTCAGGAATGTGGATGTGTTATAGCGAAATGGGAAATCACTGTAGATTGTAAACAGTGAAACAACCTGGTCATGCTAGCTGCTGGGTACAGAAAGAATTGTACGCGGGTGAGCGGCAGGGAGACCAGATGGACAGCAGCTGCCGCAGTGCAGGTGTGATGGCAGCTAGCCTACCAGTGGAGGCAGACAGAATGGACAGGGCCAGTCTGGTTTTGGCAGTAGAGCTGACAAGACTCAGGAAACGAGAAGCCAAAGGATCCTCTTGGTACAATCAGTTGAGTAGAAGTACCATTTCCTGAGACATGGAAAACCAAGAAAAGAACAGATTTGGGTGGAAGCAGAGTAAGAAGAGGGCAAGAAAGGGGAAAAAGAGAAAGGCACAAGATATGCTTAAGCTCGTTAAATTTGAGGTACTTAGTAGACACCAACGTGGAGATGCTGAGAGGCAGCTAGTACTCCAATCTGGGGCTCAGAGGAGGTCAAGCCTAGAGATGTGACAATAACAACAAATGCTTTGCTAGCCCTTACTTTGTACCAGGCACTGCTCTGAGCACGTCACATACATGAACTCTTTCCATTCTCATAGCAGCGATTATCATCCCTGCTTTCCAAATGAGGAAACTGAAGCATAGGCAGATTAAGCACCCATAAGCAAGCTACAGCACCAAGATATAAACCAAGGCTAGCTGTCTGGAGTCTGAGACCTTAACTGCCAGGTAGTTAATTAAGCTTCCCCATACGCTATGCCATTAGTTAGTCCTCATATCTTATCCTTTCCTTTCCCAGGGCAGTTAGAAGTACTGTTGGCACGCTCCCTAATGCCCAGAAACTTAATTAAATATCTTATCTCCATTAACCAAGAGATGTTACCGCGCTGGTCAGGCGTTTTAACTCAATTTCTGCAGACTAAAATATAACTGGTTTTCATTAAAATAAGGTTTTTAAAAAGTTTTTAAAAAGCAGTTTTCACAGTTAAATGTGTATGTTACAGAATAACTCAGTTATTTTTAAACTGCTCATCCCTTAGGTTCTACTCATCAGTTTGTTGAACAATTTGTGTCGCAAAATAGCAGAAACAAAGTCCGTCTTTTTAACAAATGCACAGACACCCTGTGTAAAGCCTTAGTAACCATCATGGTGTTACTTGAGTACCATTGGTTGAGAGCCAGTCTCACTCATAGCTGACATTTGAGAAAATGTTGAAGAAATACAATAGGATCAAGAACTACTATGCACCTCGAGATATACTCAACCAGCATCTTTCTGGCAAAGCCTTATTTATATAAAAAGATAAGAATAAACCTAACCAAGGGAAACAACATGAAGTCAAGCAGGGGTTCATCTGATAACCAACACTTCTCCTTCACTCAGCAATAAGTTCCTGAGGACAGAGACAAGAGTTTGTTCATCTCTGGGTTTCCCACATATTGTGGAACTGAATGATGTCCCCTGAGATTTGGGGATCGCAGTGAGGTTGTATAACAAACAGAGCAGTTGGGCCAGGACTCAGGAGATCAATTTGAGAACCACCTCTCCCATCTACTAGCTGTCATTTCCTCTCATAGCCTCAGTTTCCTCCTCTGAATAATGAATGGGATGAATAATATCAGTCCTGCCTTGTCGCCTTACAGCCGATTCTTAGACCACCCCCTCTGCATTAGCCTCTGACCCATTAGTCGAGAGAGTGTCT